AAGGAAGGAAGGAAGGAAGGAAGGAAGGAAGGAAGGAAGGAAGGAAGGAAGGAAGGAAGGTAGGAAGGTAGGAAGGAAGGAAGGAAAGAAAGAAAGAGAAGAGGAAGAAGCACTTGGGGTCTGGCTGGGCAGCGTTCTTCAAGGCATGTTTCTTAAGGCGGGAAAGGCAGTTGGAAGCAGTGTGCGGCCGGCTTATTCTTTATTCGTGGGACCCAGGTGAGCTAACCCCAGATTGGTCCCTAGGGCTCTCTGTTCTGGCAAGGGGATATAAGACCAGGAAATGACAGCCATAAAAGAGACAACATTTTCCTTTTCAAATTCACTGATTTTCTCACTGAAATGACCTCCCCTTCAGTTCACTGCTTTCAATGTGCTCTCCTTGCCTTTCAAGGCTTTCTCAGCCTAGTGACAGCCGATTCAATTGCCAACAGGGGCAAGGGATCCGAAAGTACAAACTTCTTTTCCGGAGACACCATTAGGGTGCAGTAGTTTGTGGGGGCAGGATGTGGGAGGAGAGCCCTAATTTGCAATGGTAATTTTCTTTCCCCTTTCCATCCCTGCAGGCTTCAGAGAACTTTACCAGCTGGCCGGTCTTTCATTGCCATGGATACCAGGGACATCCCGCAGATTTTGCAGCAGATCTTTACCTCCACCATGTTGTCCAGTGTTTGAGAAGTGCCCTTCCGCTCCCTGAGGACCGGGGATTTGCCATAAGATAGCAATCAGGAGTACTCGGAACAAGACGTCTACAGCGTGAACCCAGCAATGAGTGGATGATTCTGGCATCCCTGGCTTCTGCTGCTCTTACTCAGTAATCAGGATTCAGGAAAGCTGCCAGAGGCAGGCTTGTGCACAGAAATGTACAGCCACCGATAGGGTTACAAATCATTACAGGAAGCAAGTTGACCTGCATTTTATAAAAGGTCAAGGTTCAAGGAAGGTGGCTGGAGAACTGTGGTGCTTAGTTGGTTTCCCAAAACCTCAGGGAGAGAGAATACCTTGCTTTGGCCGTGGCACATCATTGGGTCCCCTGAAATAACAAAAGCGACCCCATCAATCTAAGCCTCTGATGCCACTTTCTGACATTAAGATACAAGTCTATGCAGACCCACCCAACCTCTTCCTGTCCAATAATTATTTTTATTTTCTCCCCCACTTTGTGTTGTCCAACAATGATTTTATAGTATTTAACCCACTGGAAAAGTCCAACAGCAGTATTTTATAAGAGGTTGGATTTTCTCAATAATTCCATCTTCTTGGCCAAAACCAAAAGGAATCAAAAGACCCTTGGATCACTTCCTTTCCCACGTGACTTTTAAAAGGCTCTTTAAATAATGAAGAGCAAATGTCCTGTTCTCCGTGCTGCCGGGAGTGGAAGGATAAAGGACGTCTGGCCTTCAGTTTCCTGTTTCTTCTTTTTCTCCTAGTGCTTCTCAGAAGTTTCACACTACTCCATTTTGGGGTCCAAAATGCAGTGCTCAGAATAACAAATGCTTATGTTCCCACTTAAAGCAAAGTAAAAACATGGCAGTATGTTTGAACTGAATAACTGGAAATTTCTTTAGCTATAAAAAAAATAATAAAAAAAAAAAACTTTTTTCAAGCCTCATTCTTTTTTTTTTTCAAGTGTGCCTGACTCCTACCCTCTTTTGGGCTGACCTTGTGTATCAATAGGCTACGTCACTTTGTTTAAAATCAAATACTTCAGCAGAATTCCGTCTCTGTCCAGCCATATGATAAAAAGTTCCTCTTCACCATTGATGGCAAAATCAGGAACACTGGGGGCACCAATGTGTGTGCCTTCTTACGACAAGTTGGAAAAACTAATCTTGTCAATAACGTTACCTTATTCACCCATGTATAGTAGTAAAATTTTCATTTTAATTAATTAGAGGAAGGAGAAAAAGACAACACCCATTTGTTTCACCACCCCATCGCCCTATAAACTGTCAAAGAAATAAAAGCAATGAGATGTCCAGTGCAGTATTATTGCCCAATGAGTTTGCATGGCACGTCTTATTTTTCTAGCCAGAGCTTGCTCTGTGCATTGAATCATCCACTGATGCAAACGATTGCGATCCAATAAGTACTTTCAAAAATGTAATTGCATTAATAACAACAGTAGCAACAGCAGCAGCTTACGTTTACTGATTACCTACTATGCACCAGCTGTGCTCGGTGACTTCATATATTATTCCACTCAATCCTCACAGCAACATGTGCAAAGCAGGTGCTTTTTACCTCGTTTTATAGATAAGGAAGGTGAGGCTCAGAGAACTTAAGTGACTTCCCCAGTTTTCCCAGTACTAATCATGGCACTACTGTTGACTAACCATTGTGCTGCTGGCATCCTCATTTCACGAATAAGGAAACAGAGGCTCAGGCAGAGATGGACTGTGCTGGCTGAGCTCGTGCTGCTTTGTTCTTGCAAGCCTCAATGCCGAGCTCTCGGTGCCTTGTTGCCCTTTCTCCCAGTGCAGTTTCTCTTGCAAACTGACCACATTTCTTAGAGCTCTCGCCTCTCCTTGGTACTCAGCAACTATCTGCACTCATTGGGGGACTCAGAGGAGGGTGTGGGGAGCAAGCACACGTCTAACCACTCCTTCCTGGGCACAGCAGCAAACTGAGGAAGTCCCCATTCGAGTGGCAGCTGAACCCCTAGATGTGACCCTTTGCCAGAAGGTCACAGCCTCTGTAACCTTTAGAGGTCCAGTCCAAGAGTGATTGACAGGACAGCATTTTAACAAACCTCCGTGTGTAACCACCTGAGAGAGCAGAAGCCATTTTTTTTTTAACATGAAAACAATATACTCAGGTCATTTAATTTACCTTTCCCCACTGGCCAGACATCCTTTGCAATGGTTATTTTTTTAAAAACATGAACTCCCAATTTGTAAAAAGGGAGAATGATGGGGGAGGGGAGGGGAGAATGAGAAGATGAAGGGTTTTTTATTTTCGTTTCTTGAACTACCTAAGACGTTTGTGGCTTTATTATTAAATGTACTTAATGATAGGCCACTCCAAGCTGTTCCCAGGCCCTTCGTAGGGCCAGGACATTATAATAAATGCATTGTGTGCCTCAGGGGGGTTCCATTGAAAGGCATCTTAACCCCATCTCTGTCTCTATAGCGAGCCCTGTAATGCTGACAAGGGTCTTTGTCACCCGTGAGCAGCCAGGAGGAATGAAGGCCATGAATGGCCGCAGTCTATGGCGTGTGTTCCCCCTGGAATCCTTTGTGGGCCCCAGTAAAATGACCTCGTCACACAAGGGGCAGCGTCCACACAGCCTCAAGAAATGGATCAGAGACGGAGTCCTTGGGTCCATCACGTGTTTGAAATGAATCCTTTAATTCTTTACACCCTTTCCTGTGACCTGTCAGAGGAGGAGAAATCCATCAACGTCAGCGAGATTTTCTCAGAACCAATTCTAGGGCTTTGAAAGCCATTTCGAAGTGGTTTTCTGTAGACAGCATTGTCAGTGTTCCTGAAAGGTCAGGCCCCAGAGGGCACAGCCTTCCGTCCACCTGGCTCCTTCCGGTGCCCCTCAGATCAGCCAAAATTAGATTCCGCGGTGAACCGAGCAGAGAGGTACGGTATTAGGGGAATGAGAGCGATACTCACTTAGCTGTCGCATTTCTTTCAAATGTGTTTCTAACAATCACAGTCATAAGAGATTCTGCAAATTCTAAGCCAATATCTCCTGACAGGACAGCTTTTTTTCTGGAATCGCATCTCAGGAACAATCAGATGTCTACTTGCATTTTGTAAGTTGTACATAGCTTTTTCCTCTGGTGAAGAAATAAAATGCCCACTTGTTAAAAATTACTCCAACCAGAAACCCATACGGCTTTATGAAACACTTCGATGAAGAGTCTCAGTTACTCCCGATTGCTGGTCAGGGCTGTACCATAAGTTCTTGTCTGAGGGCTTTCCTTCCCCTTTTTTCTAAGACTTCAGGTACCACAATGGAAAGGCATCCCAATGTCCTCCCTTGTAGTGGAAAGAGTTAATCAGAAAGGAGGGTCTCCATGCTGCTCAGCCATTAGTTAGTTACCTGCAAATTCGGACAACTCACTTCTCGGTCTCAATTGCTTCATTGATGAATTTTAAAAGTTGGACAAAAATGATCTTTAAAGTTCCATGTTCCTATATCTCATTCAGTGAATTGACTTTGTCGCTCGTGTGTCACAAGAACCACATCAGTTCAGTGTATTTTTGTCACTAGAACCCCACGCACATATTAGCCCGTGGACAGAGGGTTTCGGCACCCACATCCATCGCCCTAACAAAAGAATGTCGCCGACTGACCATGCGTTCTAAAAGTTATGCAGTCGTCATTAGAATTGGACAAGAGGAGCTTCCCCTCGGCCGCTGGACCGATGTTTCTGCTGAATAATAATTCACAAGATTTCTGACCATTGTCTCTTACTGTGCACTTCGCTACCTTAAAAGAAAAGCCCGTGGCTGCTGCCCTGCACAGTGGGATCAAAAGGATGAGGAACTGGAAAGCTACTGGGTGCCAGAGAGCTGACCTTTATGCTGGGGCTGAACAATGTGCAATTGTGTGTGTGTGTGTTGTTGTTTTTTAATTGTTAAATCCTGTAAACAAAAATCTCCAGAGGGGTAAAATGCTTGCCAGGCAAATCTCTCAAGTTGAAAATGATTTGACACTTTTTTTTTTTTTTGGAACTAAGCAGTGTCTGGGGCTTTCACCTTCCAACGAGACCGCGTCTGTTCCTGCACAGCCATGCACGTTGGCTCTCAAATGCCAGGGTTACATAATTTTAAATTGAGTGGTGCTTTGGTATTTGGCCACTCCGAGCAAAGGATAACTCTCTTTTAAGGGCGTTCTGGGTGGCGAGAACGCTTGTTCTGCTCTAAGAAATCTCGTCAATGGACAACACCCTAAAGGGCCACCATGCATGGGCCTCCCCTCGGGGGGCACCAGGGGCCCCCGAGTCCTCCCACTTCTCACAGGCTTCAGTGACAGCTTCAGAGCCTCCAGCTCTCTCCCGGAAGGAACAATCAGCGTGTTTGTCAATAAACCCTGATCCCGAAGATGGTGGGTGTGACCCCAGGGACATTTCAGAATATGAGGATTTTTTAAAGTCACATGCAACCGGGAAGCTTTCGTAATGGGAGCTGGAGCTGGAAACAGGAGGGAACAATGTCTGTGTGCACATCCCGGAACAGAGCTGTCTCCTAACGCAGCCAAGTGTGCCACAAGAATCATGAGCCTGTCGAGACTTCTCTGAGTGACTGGTCTCCTGATGCCATACTTGAAGCCTTATTCGTTGAAATGAAGAAAAATAAGTATATTTACTCAGGACACTAAAGTTGGAATTGCAAATGACATGTACGCCTATTAATAAATACTGATGCTAATGGAATGAACCTGACCATTTCTTCATCCCGGCGCTAGGGAAGACGACTTCATCATCACCAGGAATAGAGTGAGCCTCAGCAAAGCTGGTTGGTCCGTTTCCTTTTCCAAAAGATTTCCGGGCCCATGATGAAATTCAGCCCTAAAAACGCTGGCCCAGTGGAAATCAAATGGCAACACTGGTGAGGCAGCTTGTCTCCTGGGGCAGTTCCCATAGAGCCTGGGGCTGGGGTGAGGGGGGGCGGGGAGGGTGTTGTCTGTGCAGTGAGCCAGCATCCCAGAATCCAGGGTGTTAAGCACACAAAACTAAAAAGGGCAAATAACAAGGGGTAGCCGGGAAGGCCCAGGGCTTAGGTGATGGACACGTGTGCTGGGAAATACAGCTGTCTATTTTGCAGTTGATAAAGGCGGGGTCTTTATCTGGAAGGTACCCTCTACGTCGCCAATGCTTTGGAACAACTGTTTTCCAGGCTGATGGAATATGCACGTCCATACATTTGCAGGCTTGAATACAAAGATTTCACGTTCAACATGTAGTGCCCGAACTAAAGAATCTCTTTCTCCCTGTGACCTTTCGTGGAGACGGGAAGAAAGGGAGTGCTCTCCGCAGAGGTGGGAGGTTGTGGCAGCCCCACAGAGCCGCCTGAAAGCAGACATTCAGTCATTTGGCTGCAGCTCAGCTCCGCACAGCTGGCCTGGCTCCTTGCCCCTAACATCTGAAGTCTCTGTCTTTAGAGGATTTCTCAGCGAGAGGGGCTTCTCTTTTAAAGTACAAATAACCCTGAGGGGCTATCCATCACGCACATCTTGGTTTGAATTTCTTCATTCACATGCTTTCCTCCTAGCCGCAGCTGAGATGAAGGGTCTCAGACAGAGGCTAGAATTGGGGTGAGGAGGTAGAAGGCGTGGGAGGGGGATGTTTGCAGCTTGAGCATCACCCGAACAGAGGACTGGACCTGGGACCAGGGCAAGGGCACGTAGGGGTGACGTCCTTGCCTTGGGCCGCTCGACCCCCCTGGGGGCACTCGCTGAAGGCTTTGCCAGGTGCAGGTGGTCAGTCCCTGGCTCTCCAGTCTGGCTCTTTAGAGACAATAGAACTCCACCTGTGTTTGGCCCGCCCTCTTCTGGAAGCTCTGCCTTTCTGACACCTGGGTTATATCGGGAGGTCACTCGCAGTGATCAAGGGCCTTCAGCCCAGGGCAAGGCCTCTCTCAATACTG